TTAAAATGCATTTAACAATTTTTGGATAGAAATTGATGAGTGCCTAAGTTCGTCATGTATCAATGGAAATTGTTCTGACCACCTAAATCATTATACATGCCACTGTCAGGATGGGTTTACAGGAACAAACTGTCAGACAAATAAGTATTTAATTTCTTTGTCAAATTACATTTATACTTTTTGATTAATATACGGATATTATGTATGTGGTTTCTTACTTTGTTTCAAGATATAGATGATTGCGCTAGTTCTCCTTGTGTTCACGGTAGCTGTGTAGGCGGGGTCAATGGGTACGTGTGTACCTGTCTATCGGGGTTTACTGGAATCAACTGTGAAATGGGTATTACGTAATACTGCAGTTATCTATCAGGAAATATTAGTGCATGAGTTTCAAAACGCTTTATTTAGATTTCCAGATTTTTTTTCTCACACATTTTCTATTAGAGATGAGTAATAAGTCGCAGGTATTGTTCCAAATTGTTAATTACTCCTAATAATGGTCATACACAGTTACATGTAGTTTTAATCTCAGTTAATGAATACACTTATAACAGTGCTCTGAATAAAATACAGTGCTCTGAATCGATGTCTATCCGTCTACACGAAACACCTGTGTGGGTCATTTTCCATTCCCTTATTTCAATCTGGACCAAACTTTATCCAATAAATGTCAGTATTTATTTGACGCTGAGACTTTTTTAGCCATTTGGTCCATGTCAAATGTATCTCTGTGTAATTTTGTCTTAGCCATTTCTCTCTCCGTGGTCACTTATAAGGTAAACTTTACCAACATATTGCAAAAAGGTAATATTGTTGAGCACTTAACTTGTATACGTTTTCTAGATCAAAGGTTACTTTAAAAAAATCCCTAGATATTGTGCTTTTCTGGAACATTTTCTCTGTCCTTTGTCCAATGTGTCTCATAGAAAAAAATAAATACCAAATGTAAAACTGGTCAGGACTTCACATGTGGATTTTAACAAATTGACGGAAAAATCTCCTGTGCAGAGTTGCCGTTTGTTACTCTCTTGCATCTGCAATGGAAAGATTTTTTATATCAAAACGTTCATATGAATTTTTTTTGAAATATGTTAAATTAAATTCAAAGTTCTACATAAACTTAATAAATATCTTACACGAATTAAAACAACTGCACTTTTTCTCGTGCTATGCAGTATGATAATGCGAGCCAACGTTTGAAGTGAAATCCAAAAGATCAGTACATGTATATAAAACTTTTTAAAGCTTTCTTTTGTGTACCAACATAATTTTTACTCAAGAAATCAAGAACTACAACAGCATAATGAAAAGATGTTTTTTTTTAAAGACTTCCTTATCAATACAACAAAACACTTTTTGTAATTGCATTAGGTAAAATTGTTAGTGTACACACATTCATTAATCAAATAACACTGTGATAAGATAGCAGATACTGTACCCCATTTAAGTATGAGACAATACTCATATCAAGTTCTGTATTTTAAATTAACTGCAAATCTATTTAATTTACTAATGTAATATACTGAGTTATTTCCGAGAGACGTACCTTGTTCATTGACCATTCATATAAAACGGGGAAACGAACTTTTCAACAAACATTTTCGATTCTAAAATGTTTGAAAAAGTAGATAGGGGGCTCCCCTTCCAAAACCATGTGCCTGTTTAGGGATTGGATATGGACGGCTTGGTGGTCATGCAAATATAGGATTCCCGCTCGATGAAGCGGTTTGAAGATACGTTCTACGGATACCACATCTGTGGATAGCATATAATCTGTGTGTACACACTGAATTCAAATTTACATTCCGTAATGGAAACTAAATAGGTCTACTGCACAATTTATTCATGATATGTTGTAGAGTAAACAGAACTGTTTTTTTAAAGCTATCTGCAAGAATGAAACTTTGCAATAACTGCGGATCTGTCATTTTCGGCATTAGTACATGAAATAATGGTAGCGGAGGAAGTCTGGAAAGGTTTCACATAAAAATTTACCAAGAAAATATCTGTCTCTAAGTATGATTTTTATGAATTCGCTGTGCTCCCTATAATTACTCAAATTTTAAATAAAAAGTGACGAAATAAATGTTGATTTTTAATCATAACCAAAATTACACAATCTTCAGGCTAATCTTAAGACATTACATTGCCGGTGAAATGACGAAAAGTGACCCCCGTAGAATATTGACCGGGGGCCATTTTTCTACATAGACATTTGACCCCCTGGTCAATATTCTACGTAGGAAAATGACCCACTTTTCTGTAGAAATTATGGCCTTGGGGTCGTTTTTCTCCGTGTGCATTGTAGAAAAATGACCACGTAGAATAATGACCCCCTGTCATTTTTTATACAAAAACATTCGCTTTGGTAGGGATATTCTTGTTAGGCGAATGTATACGGGTAATATCAATCTGCCTTATGCTTTGAAATGTTATTTCTGAAAGCTTTAAAGCCTAGATAATGAAATCAAAGCTATATAATACCTTACATTAAACATACAAACTTTTTTATCCCCATTAAAGGAAAACAATATTAAAATGTTCTAACTAAAGTTTATATTAGAGCAAAGATACGCACATTCATAGAAACATTTATTACATTTTATACAGTTAGTTTTCACAGTTGTCATTTTAATCTTTAAAAAAGGCTTTGACACTTTGTCAAATGGATAAAATGTATCAGATCCATGTTTAAATCGCGAAAGATTTAGGGTCAATATGAAAACCATTTATCTTCCTGTGTTCAATAATCCAGAAGTGAAAAATACATAGATAGATTACATGATCAGTACGTACTGGTCCCTGCCGACAAAGCAGGTAACAATATTGTCTTCGTTTGTAAGGTTCCTTATATCAATTGTATTTTAGAAGAACTTGGATTTAAATCTACAAGTGGTAATCCTTCTTATACTCATACTTCCCTTTCTGAGGAAGAAATTCTTCAAAATCATATGTCAGTTTTGAATATTTTTGATATTCCACAGAGCCAAAATGAATTTGAACTACCATATATATACTGGATTCCGAAATTTCTTAAGAATCCTAAGAAAAAGATACATTGCGGGTTCAAGTAAATGTTCAACCATGCCTATTTTGTTACATCTCACTAAGATATTCACAGAAATGAAGGAAAAATTTCAAGAATACAGTGCAACAATATACATGTATTCAAGAAGTGGTGTGAATCAGATCTGGATACTCAAAAATTCCAAAGAACTTTTGGACAGTTTTAAATCACAAGATATTACCAAAATGAACAGCTTGAAAACTTACGAATTTTCAACTTTATACACAACCTTTCCCCGCGATAAATTAAAGTCCAGACTTTTTCATATCATTGACAGCTGCTTTTTCAGTAAAAATAGAACTCGTAAATTCTCTTACCTGTGGTAATTGGTCATTTGCAAAGTTATTTTGTTAAAACACACTCTGATTACACACACATGTACTCTGAAGTTGACTTCAAAAAGATGCTGTCGCCCGCGTGGCGCAGTGGTTAGAGCGTCTGCTCTAGAGTCGCGAAGTAAGGAGTCAATCCTTACGTCGCGGGTTCGAATCCCACTGTGGGACGTGGAGGCCGGTCCTTCGGATGAGACCGTATAAACCGAGGCCCCGTGTCGCAGTAGATGTTGGCACGAAAAAAGATCCCTCACTGCTCAAAGGCCCTGAGTGCCGAGTATAGGACAAAATTTGTAGCCCTCCACTGGCAAGTGGTGGCGTCTCCATATGAGTGAAAAATTCTCGAGAGGGACGTTAAACAACATACAATCAATCAATCAATCAATCAAAAAGATGCTTGAGTTTCTGATTGAAAAAATCCATGTGGTTTTTGGAGACCAGGTCTTCAAAAAATCTATTGGAATTTCCTTGGGTACCAATTGCTCTCCGTTATTAGCAGACCTATTTTTGTATTTAAATGATGCAGAATTTGTGCAAAATCTTATGTGTGAAAAGAAGAAAACACTTGTTGTGGCCTTCAACTCGAAATTTAGATATAACGACGACGTATTGTCAGTTAACAATGGTAATTTATATTCCTAGGTCGATATGATATATTCTGTAGAGCTTGAGATAAAAGATACTGCAAGGTCTGACACATCTGTTTCATACTTGGATATTTTACTTGAAAATGGTAATCTCACAACCAAGCTATATGATAAATGTGATGACTTAAACTTTTCTATCGTCAACTTCCCTTACTCACGCAGCAATAAACCTTCATCATCTGCATACTAAGTGTATAAATCTCAGTTGATTCGATACGCAAGAGCATGATCTACGTAGGAACATTTTCTTAAACGAGGTAAATCATTGACAAGCAAGTTGACAAACAATTTATCATAAAACACGCATGCGCTTTAATCCTTTCGTGAAAATGATTAACTGATAGGTATCATTACCAACGAAACGTCACATTTATAAGGTGTTTGTTTCCTATGATAACCATATCATTATATACATAAATAATGTTTAAATACATTATACAGTAAATATTATATATATTTAAAAAAGGTTTTAAGACATATTTTAATGATATATTTTAATGCTATATATACATATACAAGTATATATAAATTTATATTAAGGTAAAACAGTGCATTTTCAATTTGGCAATCGATTCGAAGAAAATGTTGACTTGACAGCCGTGTAGGTTTTTTAACGATTTACTTTCCTCTTGATAATCTATCGTACACGCTGGACTTTATTCTTTCTATGAAATTAACGATATATACACGTAACCGATTTAAGGTATGATAAGAGGGACAGTTTAGACATGAAACAAAATTCTTTATCAAAACTGAGAATTTTATTTAGCCCCTTTAAAAGGAATTTCTGAGAAAAAATGATTCATTTTTTATTCGCTGTAATTGATGTAACAATGATGTAAACTCAATAGCATTGGTTGTTCAGTAAGTCTTCCTCGTTGCAGACTTTCCTGATTTTTCTATATAAAAGTAACAAAAATTTAGTGCCATATTAGTTCAAAACTATCTTCAACAATGTCTTTTACAACTTTGATTGTAGTAATAGTATCAGCAATACTTAACATTTGTATCTGCTACCCTTTGAGTCAGTTCTATAGTTATGGTTTAGCGGCTGGAGACAGCGAGTTGCCAGCAAATGACGACGGCTTCACTTCTAGAATTCCCATCAGTGTGTCTTTTCCTTTCTTTGGTTCGTCATATAACTCAATTTACGTACGTACAGAAAAGTTTTACTAAAGATAAGTTATCGTGTTCTTTTAGAATTATTTTACATGGAAGATTGTTTGAAAAAAGTATACTTCTGAAAAATGTCTGTAAAATTTCTTTTTCATTTAAATTATTGTGTCTTGTTTGTTTGTTTTTTCAGTCTTTTTTGTAATGCTTCTTTTGAAAGAAGGGCAAAGTTTTTTTAAACAATTTTTTTAATTCTTCTTATCTTATTAATTTTTATTCAATATTAACTTATTTTAGCTTTTTTTAAATTATAAGGTCAATAACAATGGCGACGTTACATTTGAGACTCCATTAAGCGAGTGTACCTCACAGCCCTTCCCAATAGATGGCTCTCATAGAATCATAGCACCATTTTGGACTGATATAGATACAAGAAAAGGAGGTAGATTATGGTATCGCACAACAACAGACAGAACTATACTACAAAGAGGAACGAATAACATTAACACTCTTTTTCCTAATATTGTAACTTTCACTGCCACGTGGATGATGATAATTACATGGGAGGATGTAGCTGCATATGGTTGTTCCACTAGTGGAAGCTGTCAACAGGTAACAAAGTTATATGAATACGGAGAAAATAGAACTATGAACAGTAATTTCAATTTTCTTTTCAAATACTTTATTTTTTTAAATTGCAAAGTCGATGCGTAAAAATATTGTTCGGTGCTTCATTACATGAAATATCTTTCATTGCCTTATATATGATTTCATTTGCTATTTTGACAGTGGAATACATTTCAACTTGTTTTAATCAACAATGGTGTTAATTCATTTGTTGTATATGATTACAACAAAATCACATGGACACAATCTGCTCAGGTAACAAACATTTTATTATAAATCATCACGCAATATAGTTTAAACTTTAAACTTAAGGCCTATTTCATTTTTAAGAATATGACAAATATGGTAAATTTACTAATAATCTAAATGTATAATATTTTGTCTCTAAGGTGGGGTTTAACGCTGGTGATGGAGTTCATTATTATTCAGTTCCTGGATCAATGACAAACGCAGTGTTAAATCTTCCTCAGATGTCTAATATAGGAATTCCTGGACAGTATGTATTTAGAGTGGATCAAGCAAAAATAACCAATGCAGGTTTGTTCTTCTTAAAACTTCGTTTATCCCTACTAAAACTTCTTATATAATCCTATTGTTCAAGAAAACACTCTTGTTCACGCATATAGCAATAACCTTGCAGATACTGTTGACGAATGTGCCAGTTCTCCCTGTGTTCATGGAAACTGTTCTAATGAGTACCTGTATTATGAATGTATCTGTGACCCAGGATACACTGGTGTAAACTGTGAAATTGGTAAGAATTGTATAGATTTACACGTTATCTGAAGTGCCGAGTTCTTCAGGTATTATCAAAAATAATCAGCAAACTTCTACTGAACACACAGTAAAGATGCAAAATATCAAAAGAAATCAAGCATCAGAGTATTAAAGAATGTACCATAGTTATGTTTCAAACCCTTATTATTATAATTTTACAATATCATTAAATGTATAATATTACATATGTATTGAGGAAGTTATTTTAGTAAAATATCAGTTGAAAGTATTTAAGAAAGTACTATTGTAATTGTAAAATTTGAAAATATTAAATAATGTACACTAGAAAAGTATTAAAGTAAAAAGGTATCCGTGAGCCAAAGTCAAGTGTCATTGTAGTAAAGTATAACAGTAAAACTAGAATTGATCATGGTGCATTAAAAAAAGTGAAAGCCTTTTTCATTGAGTGTTCTCTTGTTCATTCCCTACATTTGCCAAAAAAGACGTTGAATTACATCTAGATAAAAAAAACAACACCTCTTTTTGTTGATATTCAGCATAAGACAACATTAAGTGAATCATTTGATGAAACTTTACTTTGATAGATATCAATGAATGCCAAAGCTCCCCCTGTGTTCATGGAAACTGCTCTGACCTTATTAATCACTACACATGTCAGTGTTATGCGGGTTATACCGGAACCAATTGTGAGATAGGTTTGTATTTTATAATTTTGTATCAAATTTCTTCCCTTTTCGGACGTAGAATTTAAAAACTGCATGCAATGTTGGTGATACAGGCCGTTGGATAAACTTATTTTATCAATAGCACTTCCGGTTTTGACACGAACCCTCGCTTCAAGATTTTATTTTATTGAAACTTTTATTTGTGAAAATTGTTGCCCTTATAAAATGAATGATAAAGGGTAGCAATATCGTTAAAAGCAAGATGTCAAAGAAGTGTCTTATTTTATCAAGGAACCCGTTGGCTATTTGAAGACAGATGTTACCCCCCCCCTCTTAGATCGTTTTCGGAGAAAGTAAAGACTACATGTACCAGTTAAGTTGTTGTTATAAGACTCCTTTGACATCTTTAACAATGCTTTCTTATATTATACTACGTATGCCTACCTAGTAATGTAGCTGTAACTTACCATGGATCAGCAAACAATTTAGACAAAGTCTAGGCCCCTAGCCTTGCCTAGCACGATTTGTACTGCCATCGTAAAAAGAGTTGATTTTCACGATCCCCATAGTCCTAACAACTTTCAGTCAGAAGTTCGTTTGATGTAAAGCTCCAGCAATTTTCACATGATGTTTTCAAAGACACAGATAGCAAATATTCTAAATTTTGAACTCGATCTACTTTCTCTCGACGCATGTAAACATCAACGGTGCTCCGTCATCAAGTTATACGTCATCAATTTGATTTTGGCAGTCATTCATGTAGTTTCGCAGGGGAAGTCTCAAAGTTTTGTTAAAACGAAAGTCGTATGAGATAAATAGAACATCTATAATTGTGTGATTTGATATTGGCTTTATCCAACTCGTTGAAATTGTGTATATTCGCTCGGCAAGCCTCGCGAATATATACACCATTTCAACTCGTTGGATAAAGCCAATATCAAATCACACAATATATATATCCTCTATCTATATATACAGATATTGACGAATGCGCCAGTTCTCCCTGTATACATGGTAACTGTACTGATCGAGTCAATGGATACACCTGTCAGTGTATACCTGGATATACTGGAGTCCACTGTGAGACAGGTATTCTATTATTCCATACATTCCCCTTTTTTAAAACATTGA